CCCCCCCTAGTAGGGGCTCCCGCCTTCGGCGGTCGCATTTCAGCTTCCGTAAAATGTTCAAATTTTTTTTCTGGAACCCATTTACATCCCTGAAAAATGCTCCGAAAGCTCTTCCAATGGCGTTGAGCGGCACAGAATTTCGAGAGCAACTGCTACAGAAAGAAAGGGAAAGAGAAGAACTGGAGTTAGCAAAAGAAGCAAGAAAAGCTGAAAGAGAGGAGAGCAGGAAGAGGAAGATACAAGAAGCAGAGGAGAAGAAAAAGAAGTTGGAAAAGAACAAGCGGATGCGACTGCAGAAGAAAAGAGAAAGAGGCAGAAAGGAAAATGAAGGCTGAAGAGAAGAGGTTGAAGAAATTGATGGTGACACAGTCACAGGCAAGGGACTCAGACAGTGATGATGTTGGAGATGTGGTGAAGTAAGATGATGAGAGTGAAGTGGAAATGGAAGACGATAACAACTTATGTAAGGGCTGTAAGAGCAATGCGGAAGGACTGTGGGTGCAGTGCTCTCTGTGTGACGGGTGGTGGCACACAAGCTGCACTAGGGATACTGGTGTAATGGGGATGGAATCGAGTGAGTTAGTGGCAGTTGACTTCTACTGCAGTCATCCGCCGTGTGCTTGAACCAACTTAGTGTTGTTGTTGTTGTCGTTGTTTTCTCTATGAATCATGAAGTTGGAATGTTGGGTTAATGTTTCTACCAACTTAGTGAAGACAGAGTGAATGCTTTAATTTTTTTCCAGCGTTTGTGTAAATGTAATTAAAAATGTAAGAGTAAGACATTATTGTTTTAACTTAAAAAAACAAAATAGAGTTGGTGTTTTTTCTATTTTCTATGTTTCTTCTCTTGTCTGATCTTTGTTGTCGTTTGAATATTTTGATCAACCACAAGGAAGTGTATAGGCCTACATGATAGATCTATTTCAACAAGCAAACCTCAAGAATTAAATCAAAACATGAACTGCAACACCTAAGGTAGGGTGTACATGACTTTGTAGACTCAACAATCCAAAGTGCATACACTGCACTACACTTTTTCCTCGAACTCGAACAGCATGGATGTTTCCCGGGTAACGCAAAGATCTTCGTTACATTTGGCCACAACATACCTTTTTAGTTTTTGCATTTTATTTGATTTGTCCACAAGAATGTAACACCCTTCCTAATCTAAAACTCACAAAAAAAGAGAGATTGAAGCTGTACACACTGACGTCTTACAAGCCATGGCGCATAAGCATTCCACATGACTAGCGCATGGCATTCCATTGTTGCATGGACATCCCCGTATTGATGCATGAACATTCTTCCTAGCGCATGGGAATTCTCAAACTGACCTAGAAACACATCATATAATATAGAAACTACTTGCTAAAAGGTCAGAAAAGTAGTGCATGTGCATGCGCTAAGGGCAAGGCTACTCTCTAGTGAAAAAAATATTTAAATCCAACTGTGTCACCGGATGTTATTCACGAAAAGGCGCTTAGGGGGTAGCACATACATGTCCCGACTCCAGATGACCCACCCTAATTTCCCTGAAATAAGCTCCGAATAGCCAGTTTTGGTGCCATTTTCTAATTTCATCCTGATACACTTGTAATGCATAAATCCTTTATTTTATGCGGTTGATATCACTCACAAATGGTCAAACCCACTTTATATAATGTTATAAAGTGCATGTTGGTATAGTCCATTGTTATATGTTCCGAAATGCAATTTTTTCCCTTTTTTCTCTTTAGCTCATTATATATTCAAATGGCGGATTTGATTATGTAATCGCACACAAAAAAATTTGCGGTATCCAATTGACCATTCACTTTTTAAGCTCTGTAAAAAATTTGAACGTGATATACACTGGGGTTACCGAGAAAATTACATTTTGCTGACCTACCCTATTTTCCCTGAAAATCCTCCCATTGGTATGTGGAGGGAGGGGTTTTTCCTTATATCTCTATGTGGAGGAAAAGTGTTAAATATTGTGAAGACGTGAGTGCCACAAGAGGGCATGCCTAATGCTATTTCTTTGCCTGGGCTGGACAACAAGAGGCAGAACTACTTATATCAGGAGATACGCCCATTCATACAAGATAAGTTCAAGGACATAGTGTGCCCCAAGCCATTTGTTGCTACACCAGACAATCCCCCAGCTACCGCACCGGAGGAGCCCCCAAAAAAAAATATCGCTCTAGGTGAATTAGGAGGGAATTTATAGCTATTTGTATTTTATGAAGTTCACTCTTATCAACTGTTTTTTACATGGCTTTGATTACATAACGTTATTTCTATTGCAAGTCTCTACAAAGTCAACTATCTTCTTTTTTTCCTGTTTGCTGGTTAGTCATCTGTTTTCTGGGTCTGGGAGCAGGGTATTTGCACATTAAAAATACAGCATCTCATCAGTTAGCACAATATTTCATGATAAAAAAAAAGGCTTAACTTCAAATGTGTTTTTCTCAAATTCTCAAATCGCACGGTTCCTTACTTCAAAATGCCATAACTCCGTTATAAATTGAGATATTTGAAAAATTTAAACAGTGCCATTCAGACAAATGAAAGGGTTGTCAAGTGGCACCATCAATTTAAAAATAGAAAAAATTACATTGTGCCTGGTTTTCCCAGGCCACCACACATATACATACATAACATACATATTACAGAATACCAAATTAATTAAATAGTGCCAACAGTTTTACCATTATGCAAGACAGTCCTCGTAATCCTGCGTACAATGATCAGCTTGCCACTTTGGCTGGCACGGAAGCTTTGCGGTTCTTAATATTTTTGTTCACCAGCTCCTTGAACTCTGGAAAGTTTTCTCGCTCCAAGAATTGCAGATACTGGTCTTTGAAGTCCTGAAGAGATGAAAAAAAAAACCCCACCCAAATTTTATGTAAAGAAGAGAACATGTTAGTGAATCAACAGCTCCTAATAAGCCTTTTCAGTTGAGGAGAACCTCTTCAGCAAATGAATTCAGTATCTAGTAGATATGTATATTCATAGGGCCTGGTCCCAAAGCTGTGGAACATGGTGACATAAAAAACAAGTAAAATACGGTCAACCTGCTCCTGCACCACCCCGTGCCCAAGACTTCCATTTCCTGCTCTCAAAACCCCCTCTGTCCAAGAGGACTATCTGCCTAAGATGACATAAGATGTATTTTGCTGCCTAAATTCTGATAAAAAAATGTACAGTTTTCAGTTCATGCGAAGCATCATGAACGGAGTATTTTTTTTCTGGTGTACATCATATTATTTTAGAAAGAAATTTCTTGACTGCAGTCATAAAGATAACATTCTTTTGATTTCCTTTCCAGCCACTTAAAAAAATGTGCAGCCTACGAGAAATTAATCTGAGATAGGACTTACTTCGATAAGGGCAGGGTGCACCTTCTTGCCTTCAGGTTGAGTCTGAAAGACAAAATACAACACAAGCTACAGAAATAGATCATATTTTATTATTAAAATATTATTATTTTACATGAAACAACAAATACGGGACTGTCAAAAATTTCTATATAATAAGGAAGCACAGCAAATTAAGCTACATCCAACAGAATAATGAAATAAGTGTTCGTTATTCGGTCAAGGACAAGGGATCTACAGAAGATAAGATAAGGCACATGCATAAAGGAAAAAAAATGGTTGAGATATGGAATGTTACACCCTTTTAATGCAGCCTAATTATATTTTACCTTTACCCATCTGTGAACTGAATGCCTATGCCAGCATGCCATGGCATAAATCTAGCAGTCAGCTGAAGGAAGCGAAAGGTATAGATCCCATAAGGCACAGGAGTCACTGCTCTAAGGGTTAATGAACAAAGAGCAATTCTCACATGCTTGGACTTCACTTTATCCATAGGAAGCCCAAAGTTAGAAGTAGCATTTGAATATGATATTTGCAATTTCCTTTTCAGGGAGAAAATGCAAAAATGAAAACTCCCTGAAGACTAAAAAGAAAAGGCAAAAATCAATAGAAAAGATCAATAGATAATTTTGATATCAAATCTATGAAAAAGTTGACGACATAATATTGCCCCCAGAGCCTGGAGTCAAATTTCAGTATAACTTAACCTTTACTGTCCAGACCAAGAGAAGACACATAAAAACAGGTTCAAAATGCAATTGCTTTTTAAAAAAAGTTTTAGTAGAGGTTTTACGGCGCTCGCAACTGCATAAGGTCATATGAGCGCCAAGGGATGGACGTCAACAGAGAAGTCCTTACAGGGAATCACTTACTCTGCTCACCTCTCTAGCTTCAACAGCACAAAGTTTGCTTCGACTATCAAAGCACCACCGAAATAGTGGGTCACAAGAGAGTGACAAACATACAAAAGAAGAAGAGGGAAAATGACAATAGTAAGGATTAAGAAAGAAAAAGCAGCAGTTCCCTGTTGTAAATCAGGCACAGTAAGGAGCATGACATCGGTGAATCAGCTCATTTACAATTCTATTGTGCATGAACGAGAAATGTCCCCCCTTTGGGAAGGGCCTAAAGACACTTCAGCCAGAGGCACCGCCCCGGGGGGGTAAAATGCAATTGTTTCTCACTACTACAACCAGATATCCAGTGCAGTGAGATCACAAAATTGTATGTATTAAAAATTATGAAACGACAAGAAACACATTAAAAGTTTCAAGTATAACACTTCTTCAACAGACACACACTGAATGACTATCACACTGAAAATTACAGTAGCCTACATAACACACATAGCCACAATAAACAAAAATTCAAAAAAAGTATTGTGAGGAGACAAAAAAAAAAAAAAAAGAAAAGAAAAGATTAGGGAACAGAGCGGCACACGAGACAAAAGACAAGAGACACAGGCTTGACAACACCTAATAGGGACACCAAATGCAACAAAAAAAAATCAGATTACAAAACAAAAAAACAACTACATCAAGTGGGACTGGCTCTAGTGTAGTGTGTGTGTGACCAAGCTCTCAAATTCCTATTTGCTGAAGCCTGGATAGTCCCAAGAAATTCAGAACAGTTGGCAAGCTTGGAGACAGCCAAGGGTCTTGTCATTTTGTTAGTGTTTTAGCGCATACAATCCGCAGCTTGCACTGTAAGCTTCCCGGGAAGTCCAGCAGGTTTCTGAGTGTTCAAGGGTCTGCTTGGGTAATGACAATGACACCAATGACAATCTTTATTCACCTCGCAGGGAGAAACTTGTCATGGTCCTTTACAATGGCAGTGGATGTTACAAATGTTGGGTGCACTCATGCATATGAACAACAAGACAGGACGTTAGTATTATATACATTAATACATGTCTCATGTGCTGAAACAACCTGCTCAGTAAAACATTCTCTCTCTCTCTCTCTCTTTGTTTCATTGGAGCACTGTGTGTTC